AAACACAAGAAGGATTTGGTATCAAACGGTAGTCCTTCGCGTTCAAAATTGTGTAGAATAGAAGTGCCCGAGGTGGAGAATTTGGGGGTGTTTAGGGAGACCATTGAGCTTATGTTTGAGGAGGATATTTCAAAACGACTTGTGAAGATCGGCGTGTATCGGGCTATCGACATACTTGAGGTTAGTGCTTAGGGTCTCAGAGGTGTTGTTCTTTTTATCTGTAGTTCATAATTTGATTGCAAAATTGTTCCTCTGTGTGTGCTTCAGCTGCTTCTGCTTCATTAAGAATAAGCCTGGGGGAGTTGGGGTTTGGGGCTTAATAGTGTTCTTACAGTGTGAAGTCATATTAAGAACTACCCTCCTGAAACAATTTAGGGAAATAAGCGTCAAGGAAGTCGTGTGCATTTGTTTTTCTTATCAGCTGATTATGGTTCCCCAAAAGTTGGGAGATACTGGGAAGGCCATTGGATTCAACGGTGATATTTGATAAGGTTCTTCATCATATATCCCTATTGTATTTTGACTATCAAATGTTATAGGGTTAGACTATGGTTTTGAGTTGAAATGACTAGTGTGTTTAGATGTCTTTTGAAAAAAATTCATTTTAAATAAAACTGCTGTTTTTATAAGCACCTCAGAAAGAATTACTAACTTAGGATGTGTTAAGTATAGTTAACCTAAGTGATTTTAGATAACTAAAATTATTTTTTTAAATATCTTATGTGCTTAATAATAAATAAAGATCATTTTAAGACCAGATTGCCTTAAAATAAATTTTTTAAGAAATACTTGAGAGGTGATTATCCAAAAGAATTATTTTAATGTGATTAACTCTCTCGTATTTTAAGTACGAAGAAGTGGGAAAAAAAGTCTTAAATGAAAAGATATACCAAACTCACCCTACATTGGAATGATAAAAACTCGACTGAGCTGTTCAACGGTTCCAATGTTCTTTTCTTCAGGCATCTGTTTCTTGAAACTCTTTCAAGGCCATTCCTAGAGTTGTACATGGGAATAAATTCTTTTTGTTAGTTTTGCATGTAAGTTGCTCGCTTATATCTGATGATTCTTAAGTTGGATTTGTGATGACCTTGTTAAGCCATGTAGTTGTTCAAGTGAGACATGTTCTATAGGTATTTTAAACCCTTGAAACTCTTTCAAGAGACTACACCTGCGTTAACCTTAGCATGGGATGAGGTTTCTTGTGTATAAGAGGCTCCAATTTGTGCAGGAGTACTTTGGATGTGTGAAACTAAAGCTTTACCCCCTCATCCCCCCTTAAACTAAAGTTGTGGAGTACTTTGGATGAGGTTCCATGTGTTTCTTTTTCCTGTTCTCGGGAGAAGCTTATTGTTGGGTTCACTTGGTATAAGAGATAGCCCCTTTAGGTACTACTTTATATCTGTAACATCTCTAGCGAGGGTTCTTCTTGTATATTTCATCCAATCAATGAAATTATTTCATACTAAGAAAAACATGTACTGACTTAAATCACTTCGGCCTTGAGAAGAAACTGAAAGTTATGAATATCTGCTCCTAGAATGGCACTTAGGCCTTTGTTAAATCATATCTAATTGCCTGTAGTCTTTTCAAAGTTATATTTTTCGATCCTTGATTCTTAACCTTTTTTTTTCTTAAGTAGGATAACTATGCTGATGGTTTATGATTATAGTTCCCTAATGATAATACTATTGTTTATGTTTGAAGTAGAATAAAGAAGGATCAATTATGATTATAGTTAAAGCCGATAATGTATATGTATATGCATAGAAACAAACAAGTTTGATTTTATACTCAAAATTTATTATTATTACTCTACAACGAAGCAGGCTTAACAGAAAAATGTAAATTTCAAACCAGAAAGGAGCTTGCAGAAAACAAAACAAGGAAATGACAAACAGACGCTCCAATTCTGAAGAATAATAAAGAAGGATATAAAGTGCTTTACTCTTAGAAACCTTGAGGAAAGCATTAAAGTGGGTCAACCAATGGCAATGCCCACTCCTCCTCCCAAGAACCTTCTATCCTTCTAAATATTCTTCTACTACTCTCGAGTTAGATGTTCGACAAAGTAGCCAAAAAAGATGCTTTCCAAGGACTAAGAGTCTTGTCTCTATCCTAGAATGGCATATGAAAGAACACCTCCTCCAGCATCTTCCAACCACAAGATCAACTTGGCACCATCCTACACAAAAGATCTCCAGAGAACAATTCTAGACTATCATGTGAACAATTCTTGACTAATATAGTGACCTGCCATCCGTGAAACAAGTTATCTAAATCTTCTTACACATACTTGTTAGGAAAACGATGGAATAGAGAAGAAAGAGGACCACCGCTCAACCAACTGTCCTTTTAGAAGCAAACATGCAAACCAAATACCAGAGAAGTAGGGCACCCGGATGAAATATTTATACATTCCATGGGTTATTGGAAGTACTTTTAATCACACTAGCCAAATTTCACCTAGTTGAATCATGTTCGTATTTATTCACAATGACCTTATACCACAACAAACCATTTGACTTGAGATGGGCATGCCATAGCCATGTTACAAGAGGACTACATTCTTAAGCCTGAGGTTACCTTCCCCAACCCACCCTCCCTCCTATCTTGGTCTTAAAATTTATTACTGTTCTTATATATTTCTTTTTATGCCCATCATTCTTTTTTTTTTTTTAATGATAATAAAAGATTGAAAACTTTAGTTCAATTGTCTAACAATGGTTGACATGTGTTTACTTTTCTCAACAAATATTTGGCCTGTGTCATACAAGTATTTGATGCTTATTCAATCAACTCAACAAGTGTCAAACATGTGTTTGCTGTGCTTAACAAGCATCTAGCACATCTCCAACAAATTTTGGTGTGTCAAATTGTCAGGTCATATTACCCAAATTAATGTATGAGTACTTCATAGGTTGATGTAGCACCTTGGTATGTCATATGTATTTATTCAACAAGCGTCAGACCTCATATTTTCTTGGAAACTTTTTTTCTCTTTATCATGCAAATGTTCAATTATGTTTGAGGTGAAATTATTGGTTGGGGAAAATTGAACGTTCTGAAGTCAACCTTCCTTTTTGTTTTTGATTCCCTATAACCCCTCAGTTCTTTGGGTTTCGAATGTTCCCCGGCTCTGAAACTGGAAAATACTGTGTGAACTAGTTTCAAATACGACCTGACATTACTGTATTGCTGGCTGGAAAACTCATTGGATATTTAATAATTAATATCCTATACAAAGATCCGTGCATACTTGAATCCGGCCTTTATCCATGGTCATTCAGATGAAAAGATCTTTTACCTCTGTACCTTTGAACTTGAGAGAGCGGCCTATTGAACCAATTAAAATTGCATTGTTGCGCGGTAGGTACAATGCACATGCATTCTACCTATATTGAACGTCTGAACGTATCATTAGTAATGGGAATTCTAGCAGTCTCTTGTGGAGACCATGGACATTTGTTGTGGAAATTTTAATTTTGGATCATTTTAATTTAATTTAATTTTTTTTTTGAAAATTTTGAAAATTTTTAGTTTGTTAGAAAGTATTGATGAAAGGCCTGAAAGATCAATTCATAGATTTGGAATGATCCAATGCTCGTGTTAAGATATTTCAGATATAAATCAATACTTTATCCCTGTTTCGCACATTATAGACACCTTTAAATATTAAGACTTTGCTAAACATATCAAGTGTACTGATTGAAACTATTATCTAATCTCTTATTGAAATAGCCATTATCTAGATCAAGCATTATTTCATCAGTGAAGTCCAGCACTAACAAGGAATAGATTTTATCACCTAGGTATCCGCAGGTATCATGTACACAAAGTGCGTTGCTTCATGTTTAAAGTACTTAGAGGCTGTGCCATGGACAGAGGAGGAAGAAGAGAAACTAAGGAATCTGTTTAAAAAAGTCAAGTTTGATGATGCAACAAGTAGAGATGTCATGGCCAGGCTTCGCCTGCTTGACTCAGTAGTTTCACAGCAAAGTATGGCCAGACAGCTTGTTTGGTCTGTTTCCACTTGTACTAATTCCATTGCAAGAACTGAACTGAAGTGTTTAGTGAAGGGTCTTCTGTGCAAGAGCTCTGTTTATGAGAAAGATCATCTGGACCTCAGTAAAGAGGACCTTTATGCAGTTTTTCATACTTGTCTAGCTTCATTAGTCAGCCTTTTGAAGGGATCTTCTTCAGATGCGGTCTGCCCCGAAAGATGCGCAAAGAATATAACCGAGAAGCCGTTAATTGAACAAATTGCAACAGAGGTGGATAACATCAACTGGCTGCTTGAAATTTTACTTGATTGGCAAATGGCTGAAGAATTTGTCAATGTATGGGCAGATCAGAAAGAACTGATTAGGATGCACGAGAATGCTTCACCAATGGTTAGGTATGAGCTCAGTCGGGTTTCAGCTAACTTATTCATTGCGATGGGGACAAGGAAATTGAATTGTCGTTCGGAATCAAGGTCGGGACTACTTCAGGTGTGGTTTGGCCCAATGCTACTAGACTTCGGTTGGCTACAGCGCTGTAAAAAAGGACTGGATATGAAAATGCTGGAGGAAGCCATGGGCCAGGCACTACTTACTCTGCCTATGAAACAACAGCATTTGCTATTCATGGAATGGTGTCGGTTCTTCTCAAAGCGTGGTACCGAGTGCCCTAATCTTAGCAAGTCGTTCCAAATATGGTGGCGCCGATCATTCCTTAGAGGTTCCGAAACCTACTCCATTGAATCTAGGTAACTACTCTCCCTGCACCACTTGGTGAGTGATATATAACACAAGTGAAGCAGTTGTGTACACCTGAAAGTTAACAAATAGGATTGTTGTAACACGTTTTAGAGCAAGAGACAGCTTTTGTAATTTGTGAGAGGTTGTATTGAATCTGATTTCCCACTTGTATGTTAGTCTGTGGAGAATGGAGATTATGTTCTCAAGAGAAGGAAGGGCTAATGAGACTGTTAATGTAGATTTTTCATTAATACAACACTGAAGCAACCAGATTCCTTGCTGTAATTACACACAATACAGTTGGATCTATCACAGCTGAGCAGAAGAAAGGTCTAAAAGAGGGGAATTCTAAATGGATCTGTAAGTTATTTGACAATATATTCCGTACCTTATTAAAAAAACCGATCCTCCTTAAGCCTTGGAGTGCTGATCTTTGCTTGGGCTGGCTCCGGGGCTCTACCCTGGATTTGTTTTCATGTGTAAGAGAAGAAGCACAGAACAACCAAAAAAGTTGGGTGAGTTTACCAGAAATATTCCAGGTGGTGAAGAACAACTAAAAAATCTAATGTTTGCCTTATGGACTTTAGAATTCTTTTATAACCTTTTTCTCAAGAACTGGACAACTAAAGAACCTAATGTTTGCCAGACTTTAGAATTCTTTTATTACTTTCTTTTTTTCTCAAGAACTACTAAAAACTCCTAGCTAACATAACTTAGAACTTTCTTCCTTGCTTCGAAGGACGCTCTACGGAAAAATGTCTAATTACAAAAAGTAATTTTGTTAGGGTCAACTTGAACCTAGCTCAGTGGATTAAAGTATTTATTTTCAATTTAAAAGTCGTGAGTTTAAATCTCCACCTCTCTATATTGTGCTAAGAAAAAAAATCTCTAAGCATAGGGACATCGATAACTGTAACTCCAAAAAGGAAAAAAAAACTTTATTTTTGTAATTTGTCTTAGGTTTAAATAATATACTAGTTCTGTTACTTTTGGTTCACTTTAATCCATATATTTTCAACTTTTTTTCATTTGAGTTCTTATACATTTAAAGTATCCATTTTAGTTCGGGTGCTTTTTAAAAGTCACCATTCTAGTTTATTGATCTTTATTTTTATTTCATTTCTTTCCATCAAAATTTTAGCATTACACTATTGATTAAATTTCTTGAAACATAACTATAAATTTGCATTAAAGAATTTTTAATGTATATAAAATTTTACAAAATAAAGATAAAATTGGTTAATTTTTAAAAGTTCAACGACCAAAACAGGCATTTAAAAAGTATAATAACTAAAATAAAAACTAAAAATACATAGACCAATTAGTAAGTAGATATTTTAAAGATACATAGATCAAAGTAATCTAAAAATAAAATATACAGTAATCAAAATAGTATTTATTTAAACATTTGTATAATAGAGGTCGATATGAAACCAAAGACAGCAAACTATTCTTTTTTTTTTTCCCGAGTACATAAAGCAAACTTTGTTACTTTTTGGAAGATTGGAAATCCTACCGACCTTTTTGGTTTCGCTTATTTTAATAATAATAATAATAATGTTTGGAAATAATAATAATAATAATGAAAAGATGGAAAAGGAAATTGGAGGAGGCGGCCGTGTGTTCACACCATGTGGTCTCAATTTAATAATTTCGGCCCACAACCTAATCCACCAGAACTCTCTTATGGGACCCACCTCCAGAACGTAATACATATCTATATATATATATATCAATTAATCAAAATACATATCTTAATCAGTTAACCTTGACTTAGGTTAAGATGGATAATTATACCCAATTAAATTAATACGTAGATATATTAATGATTTTAATTAATCAATATCTAGACCAATCTGAACTTCAATCGTGAGTTGAAATTCGCATCTTAAATGTTATGCCATATATATAATTAAAAAAATACTATATTAATGATTAGTTTTTGGTAGCCTTCTATAATTGTATAACCGTATCTAATTTTTTTACTAATATCAATAAAACACTAAAAAAATACCACTATTTATTAGTGTATATTTATATGGTAATTTAGAAGAAAATTGAGGGTGAAAAAATGAATACGCGATGATTGATGTAGTTCATGTTTTGTTGGTGAAATAATGATGAATAAAATTTGATTTTATAGTTTTAAGGGTGAAAAAGTTAAACCTTTCGAAACTGAAACTCATTTAAAGTTCTATAGTAAATTATAATTAAAGGTAAATATTTTAAAGAGGCTGACATTTTTAAATTCTATACTTTTATTAATTTTATAGTGTATTTAAATTTTTATTTATTTAAAGTTAATTTTCTAACGATTAAATTTTTACTCTCAATTTTAGCATTAGAACTTATCAACTTCTTCTAGAAAATAAATACCCATAATTGTATCTTTAAAAGTTACTTTTATTTATTTGAATCCATATTCATTTATGTATTTAGTTTATAAACCTAATCCGTTCCCATTATGAAAAATAATATTCTTAAAAAAAATATATGTTAGCTGATTTTATCTTCATCTCTTTAATATTGAATTCATATGATTTAGTTTTTAAAAATATTTTTGAAGTTCCGGCTATATTAGAAAAACAAAGAAAACAATAGTAAAAGAAACGGTTTTTTGTCTTTGACATTTTGCTAAAATTCAAAAACGTCGTAAACACAAAAATTAAGTTTACTTATAATAACATTTAATTAAATGGAATATTTTTTTAATTATATTATTATTATTATTATTTCTTTTTACTCATATATTTTGACTATATGTCAAAACTAGACCATGTCGTCAGCTTTTTATTTAGAATTTCAAAATCGAACCTCGTACCATTCTATTTTCAACTATTTTTACTTGAAATTTCAAGCCCCAAAGAATAAGTTGGCAATCAGTTTCTTCTTAAATTTAATATTTATACAAAATCAAGGAATCAAAATTATAATAATTGAAAGATAATAATGACTAAAATAAAAATTTTCAAATTTAGAGATTAATAATAATAATATATTAAATGAATCAATAATGGGTGGAACAGGCAGTTGTTACAAAGGATAAACAAAAATATTAGAATTTGTTGATACATTCCGATCCTGATATTATTAATATAATGATTCATGGTATAGGTACAAAGTTTCGAATGTGGATGTTAATAGAAAATATCGATGCTGATGGAAATATCGAAATCTCAATTATATGAAAATATAAAAAAAAAATGTCGATGTTAACAAATATTTCAAAAACCAATCATTAAAATAAAAAATTCATAAAAAATATTTAAATTAAAAAATAAGCCTTTCATCATTTTGAATGAGTTAAAAAGATCTTATTATTAATATTGTATCCCTATCTTTTGTTAAAAACTTTTATATTTGATTTTTCTCGCAGTATTACAGAAATTTCATTAGGTCAATATCAAATTTATAAAGACATGAAATTGTCATTGACAATTTGACATGTGAAAATTGGATATACCCTAGATGCCATAATGGTGTAAAAAAATTGTTCTCGGTGTTTAAAAACAATTTTATATTGTTTAAAAAATAGTAAATTGTGTTTGAGTAGTGATTTTCTAGAAAGGATTTAACTAGAAAAAGTTGTACTCATGAGATAAATGTTTCCAAATGTGAAAAAGATCTAAAATTGGGCAAACTGGTAAATATTCTTCTATATTGAACAAATTTGTAAAATATATTTAAATAACACCCAAGTATTCCTAAAGTAATCCAAAATTTGAATTTTTAATTAGATTTGAGGGGTTTCAATGTTATATATAATTCTTTTGGATTTTTATCTAATATTCACATCACACCAACCCTATATTAATTTAAAAATGGATTTCTTTATGTCTAATCAGAATATAATTCAATTGGTTGATGCATATTTTCTCAACGAAAATATCAAAAGTTTGAATTCACACTTTTTTTTTTAATACAAATGTAGGACGAGCGATCGAGCTCACGAATTCTTTGTTTGAGATATATTCCAAAAATAAAAATTACGATATTTTCCTTTTCTAAAATATGATTGAGAATTGAGTNTTTTTTTGGTGATAGACTGACAAAAGTCCAACAAAAACATTATTCGTAGTACCCTAAAATAAAATCCATCATTTACTAGGCTTCTCTCTCGACCCAAAGAAAACTTACAAGTTCTATTTACTTATTTTTTAATTAATATTTGGCATTAAAAGCAAGTAAAAGAAAAAAAATAATAATAATAAAAAGAGAGAGAGAAGGATGCCACGTGGAAGACTAGGTCTTGGTATAGGGTCAGACTGAGTCACCAATCGGGTCTCCGCTGCAATTCTGACCCATTCAAACGCGGCTGCTCCCACAACCCAACAAATTTTATATTATTATATTCCACACCCTTCAATTTCTTTTTATTTTCATGTCTTTATTATTATATTTTAAAATAAAAAAATGGGATGCCTACAAAATCAAATCAATCATATTCCCAAACATTTGAAAACTACCTTTGAGACTCTGCATGACAACTTTTTTTTAAAAAATAAAAAATAAAAAAAGTCATGTTTGTTTGTGAAGGCTGAACAACTTCTTCTTTTTTCTATTTTAAGTAATAGTTTTATATATTTAAAAATAACGTCCCTAATATGATAAATTGGATATGTGACAAATCTTTAAAATCATAGATTTAAGTTGAGTTTCAAGATACATATTTTGGCTGGAATGCAGAAAAATGGATAGATTAATCGATCTGTTTGGATATAAATTCGGTTTTAGTGAATATGCATTTGGTAGAATTTTAGAGATTCGTTTTTTAAAATTGTTAACGGAGATTTGTGATCCAAACACTAGAAATTCTAAAAGATTTCTTTATGTCTTCAATGTTTTCAGATTCAGAATTTGAAATTTTTAGAGATAGAAATTATAAAAACTTTGATACATATATTAATTTATATTATAAATTCATTTTATGTTTGTTAAAATTAAAACAAATAAATATATTCTAAATTATATAACCTTGTAAAATAACAACTAATCAAAATTCATAAAAAAATATTAATAAATTAATTAATATAAGTTCAGATTAAACTAAATATCTAGTCAGTAACTAATTCTAATTTACAAATATATTACTTAATACAACTATTTTCTAAATTGAGATTCAATTACCAGATCTGCTACCAAATACATATCTGAAAACACTGAAAATAAAAAAAAATCATTTGTTTTCAAATGTTTTATGATTACCAACCAAACACTCTATCAAATTTTTTAGACTTATTTTAAAAAGTGGAAAGTTAATTTTTATTAGACTCCAATAATTTGATAACATTTGTGTAAAACCAATTTATAAGCCAATCATGTCGAATTGGACACTAATTAATTTAATTTTTAATTTTGCTTTTTAAATTATAGAAAAAAATTGGCATAATATCTTTGCTTCATCTAATCGCAGATTAAGCAGGTGATTATGGGAAGGATTTTCTCTCTCTCTCTTTTTAGAGAGAGAGAATTGTTTCCAAAGGTGTCAACTCTAGTAGGTCAAGCCACATGAATGAGAGACACATGTTCAAATCCAACTACAAAACTTAAATTCGTGGATATGAATCTTATTCATTGTCTCCTCTTTTTTAGAAAAATAGAAATAAAAATGCATTTGTTAATTATTTATTTTTGTTTTTTTTTATTGAAAAAAGAAACAAGAACCCATTTAAGAGTTTGAAAAAAAAAACAAGAAACTTAAAACATTATCAAACGAACTCTAATTTTTCAGTTCAACAAATATGAACGAGGGATTGAACCTTTACCGTTAGAGGAAGGTGATAAGTATTTTATCCATTAATTATGCTTAAATTTACTATACATATATATATATATAAATAAAACCTTAAAGGAAGGTGATAAGTATTTTACCTACTGAATTATGATTAAATTTACTATATATATATAATTTGGAATAACCAGCATTTTTAAAAAATGGATTATAAAATAAAATAGAAAACTGTTAATAATCCGGTCATAATTGTTACCAATCAATCTTTGGTAATGTGTCTTTTTTTTGGGAAAAAAAATCTTTGATAATGTGTCATATGTTAAAAAGTTATGATCTTAGTCCTGGCCACCATCATTAATAATAATAATAATAATATTATTATTATTATTATTATTTGAAATAGATCTCTTTTAATATATAAGAAGGAAAGCACTTTTTTTTTCTTTTATTTCTTTATAGAAAAAGGAAAATAAATAAACTTAAATCTAAAATATAATCTCCCTATTATGATTTAGGAGATTATATTTAAATATGAATAACACCGTTGACATTTAACTCCGTTGAAGAATTTTTAGGTTTACGGCCAGCCCATTTTGTCAACATGCTTGCTTCTAAAAGACTGCAATTATACCATTTTTCATGTCAAAAAGTCAATGTTCATGAGCTCCCTTTTAAATTATTTATTACTTTTTATAAGAGTGAGATTAGGTCTTAAAACCAATCTAACACCTTTATTTTAAAATAAAATATGAAGTTAAATGCTTTTTATTTTGATGTTTGAGATTTCTGGTAATAATTTACGATTTAGATCTCATACTAATGTGAAGATCGAGCTTTCAACATTAAAAATTTAGTTTAAAATCTCATTAAGATCTCATTAAGAAATCTTTTGTATACATGTAATTGAACTTAGTAAATTACTAATCAAAATCTATTATAATCATGAGTCAGAATGTGGGTTTAGTGAATTGTATAATGGATGTCATGTACTATCGTCTCTTCCTATAATTTATCGTATGGATATTTTCTAGAGATGGATAAAGAATGAAGGATCATGAGAATTATAGGACACGACGTAAATAAGGTGTCAAATTTTGGTTCGTGAATTTTGATGGTCCACCCTAAAGATTATTAATAAGATGCTAAAAAGATAGGTGGGATGTGTTCATGAAAATGACCTTGGCCACTGTTTCTTGCCAATAAATTTCATATATATGGAAGCCATTTAATTGGGTATTTAGATGTCCTTAAAATGTAATATTATAATTAATATTATATTGCTATATGATAAAACATAAATGAGATATAATAATGCTTATTAATATTATATTGCTATATGATAAAACATAAATGAGATATAGTAATGTCAAAGCATGTATAGTTCAGCGGTAATTGACATATATAAAAGAACGTTTGGAATTAAAATCATAATTTAATTTATTTAGTTAAAATAGTTAATGTTTTCTTACCTAGAAATGCATCAATTTGGTCCTCTCATTATAATTGAGGTGTAAATGTTCATAATTTCCATGTAAAATGTCCCACAATAAACTCGTGCATTTTTACGATTGACCTGACTACCAAACCTTTGTTTCTTTCTTTTGGTTATAATACAAAAGCTATTTAATACATATGAACATTTATAAAATAAATTATAATTATCACTAAACTACAAAAAAGAAAAGAAAAGAAAAAGAAAACAATACAATCTTTAACAAACCATGATGAGTATATTAGTTTTATCATAGATTCAAGTTCACCTT